CCCCCCCAAAATGCCCAATCACTTGCTGGGGGATTTTCAGAGCTGGGGCTCAGGCCAAGGATGCAGTTGATGCTGTAAAAGTAGAGAGTGCCCGGAGAAGCCAATTCAGACACCAAAGCTGTTGATCAACTTGGTGCAAAGCCCTTTGGCATATTCCCAAACTCCCCCATCCCCCCCAGACTTGCATCCTCTGAGGCATCCTCCCTCGCCATCCTTGGGGCTAATCCTGCCTCCCACTGAAGCAGGGACCATCGGGATGAATGCCCGGCTTTTTTTCCCTTTCCAGCTGGACTGTCCTAGGTCCATTTGCTCTCTGCACTTTCAGCTCTCCAGACATCCAATTCCAACAGCCAGAGCTCACGCCTGGATGCAGAAGTGGGCAGGTTCACCAAGGACTGAAAGGGTGGTGGGATCCAGCAAGCCACCGAGCTGTGGCATATGGCCCTGGGGCTTTATGTCCCTATTTCAGCGGGTTGTGCGTAAATCAGCAGCCACACAAGACCTCCATTGCACCTCGCAGCCCCCGAGTGGGCCAAATCCATGAGTTAAGAAAGGAAAATTTCTGTTCAGAAGCAATTTTGGGGGACAGGGCTGAGGACACCTGGCTCCTTGACACCTGGATGGGTGCATGTGCATCCCCATCCTGATCCCAAGTGGGATTTGCAGCCATCCTGACCGCTGCAGCCACGGGAAAGGAGACGGGGGAGCTGCGGGAGATTGGTGGGGAGGCAGCGACCACCGGTACTGGGAACGGCACTTCCCAAACACTGCATCTCCTGGTTGCATTTCAGGCCAGCCCTGCTGCTTTCCTCCATCCAGCATCCAGCTGATGCTCCAGCAGAAGAAAGCTCAAAAAAAATCCCCTTAGGCACCCCCTTGCTCCTTGTCACCATCTTTGTCAAGGCAAGTGGCTTTCTAAGGCATGTCCCCAAGAGCTGCACTTTGGGCATGGCAGAAGGCATCGTGTCCCACCACGGGTGGCACGGCCACCACTGACCCAGTGATGGGTGTATGGGCGGTGGGATGCTCACCAGCAGCCGCCTGCAGTAGCCAATCTTCCTGCTGCCATCCACATTGGTCAGGACGAAAGAAAAGGTTTCGCTGGAAGAAGAGACAGCGCATGGGGATGGGATGGCTCTTCCACCCGCAGCCCTCGGGGGTACGACAGCAAGGGGTGGGGAACCACGGCCAAGCCCCCGCGGTGGGGCAGGTACCTGGTGAAGTCAGTGACAGGGGCCCAGTTGTTGCCGTCGGGGAAGCAGAAGAGGGGGATGGCTTGCAGGAGGCGCTCCTCCTCCTCCTTCTGGCCCTTCAGCAAGTTCTCGCGCTGGAACGAAGCGATGCCAAGAGTCAGGGTAATGGAGGGTGCCCATAGCCCCAGGGGATGGGGTGGAATGTGGTGTGTCCCAAAGCAACCCCTGGCTCAGACCCAAGCAGAGGGTGCCTGCACATCCCTGGGCAAGCATCTCCCAAAAATCCAGTTTGGGACTCTTCTCCCTCCCCAAGTTGTGATTTTGTTATCGTGGTCTCCCCTTTTGGGACAGGGCCCTGGGATTTTCCTCCTGGGGTTTGTGGCCCGGGGCTTGGACCGCAGGGAGGGACAGACAGTGCCAGTAACCCCAACCCATGGCAGGCAAAGCCCTGGGGTTGGGTCTGCGGCTCCAGAGCATGGGGTATTTTTCTGTTCTCCTCTCCTGGCTCTGGTGACAGGGAAGGAGCAACATCTCCTTTTCCTCTAAATTTGGAAAACTCATCTTCCCGGAAACATGGGACTAAATACCTTTGGGAACTGGTAGGTTATCTTGGGTTCATAACGTCCATCTGATGTCTTCCTCAGCGACACCACCACCAGGTACTCGAAGAAAAACTGTCCAGCAGAATAGAGGACAGAGCATCGCTCCCCTGCTTTCCCATGCGGCACCCGCAAGGCGTTTTCTGCAGCAGAGGACTCCTCTTTTCCTCCTGTAGCCACACCCCCTCCCAAAAAAAAACAGAGCAGAGTGAAATGAAAGGCCAGGAGGTGTCCGGCTGGTGGGAGAGGAGCTGCGGAGCTGCACATGAACCGGCCAAAGTGGCTGAAGGGAACCGGGACCTGGTGCACAGGGTGGTTTGGTTCCCAACAGTGAACAGCTGGGGATGTGTGGGCACAGGACATGAAAGGGGAAGAGAAATGGCTTTTATCAGTCTTTTGGAGAAAATCAAAGTGCCATCAGCCACCCCCAGCCCTCCTTTGCCCCATCCCAGGGAGGGCAGAGGGACGTCAGGGACGCCCAGAATGAAGCCGGCACCTGGGATGGCGGAGAGTGGACGGACCCTGCAGAAATCATCTGCAGGAAGGTGTGGGACTGCTTTTAGTTGGGGAATGCAGTTAATTTTATTCCCTCAGGGAAAAAACCAGCAAACAAACAGCACAGATCTTGTTTGAGCACCCCCAAAGGTTCCAACGAGATGAATCCCAACCTCTCCCTGCCAGATGTCCTCAGTCCTGGGAAGTGCTGATTGCAAATGAGATACCCGAGGGTTTTCCCTAAACCACAGCTCCCAAAGCAAAGCAATTCCCTGACATTACATCCCATTTCTTGTTTGGCCGGTTGGGGAACACAGCTGGGGAGCGTCAGCTGTTGCAACCTGAAAAACTAGAAATAAGTGAAAAGAGCCCAAGCCGGCATCTCCAAGGGCCCTGGGATGATCATGGCAGGGCAGTGAGAGCAGAGGGCTGGGAAGGAGAGGAGATAAATGCCAGCAGGAGGCTGCAGCCAGGCCATGCCACAGCTCTTCCCTCTCCCAGCAGCCACTTGCGACTCTCTAAATCCCCGGCTCCTGACACTGAAACTGTCCCGGGCTTGGTCTTGGCTCTGATTACAGTGGGGAGCTGGAACAGAAATGCTTGAGCTGCTCCTAGGAATAACAGGCAGGAAAATAAACGCATGGCTGGATTAAAGTTTTCCCCGCATCCTGGAGTTTGGCCCTGGGCTCTTTCAGTTGTGCCGCAGCTCGGCAAGGCGTGGCTGTGGCCGGCTGCTCCCACCGTCCTTCTCCCTCGTGTGCGACGTCCTCCTTCAAAGGCAGCGCTGGGGGACACCCCGCCTCATGTATCCCCCCAGCTCCATCCGTAGCCGCCTCCTTTAGTCTGGGAACACCTTCCCAGCCTTTGCTCCAGGTCATGGGGAAGCGGCGGGAGCAGAAAGTTGATCCGAAGAGGTGATGCTCACAGTCCCAGCATGGGATGTCCCTTCCCAGGGACCAGAAATGCCTTTCCCAACTCGGGGCGGGGAGGTGTGTGAAGCCGTCTCCGCGTGCACCCCAAGGCCACTCCACCTCCGTATGCAAAGTCCTTCCTCTTGGCAAGGTGAAATTCCCCCCGGAGTGGTCCCGTCGCAGCAGGGGGAAGCCCAGGAGCATCCAAAGGATGAGACCCGGCCGCAGACACCCCTGGTTTGTCCTCGGTGGGGATCACCCATGTGACAGCCCAGCAAGGTGCTCCGGGCCAGGGAAAAAGGTCAACAAGATGAGCTTTGCTTCTCCTGTTCCTCCTTGGGATGATCCAGCAACGGCTTCGGCAGTCCAACCTCACCTACAGGGCCAGGCAGAAGCTGTGGCTGGGGGGACCCCAGGGAACCAGGCTGTGCAAGGGGCAGGGCTGCTGGCATCCCCCATCCTTGCTGGACACTGGCGTCAGTTGTTTTCCCATTGCAGATTGCCAGGGTAAGGTGAAAGTCCAGTTAAATCCTGCCTATCCGGCCCCATCCTGCATTTCAGAGAATGCAAGATGCGCTCGCAAGCAAGGGCTGGATTTGCATCACGTCCGTGGCGTTTTCAAACAGCCGAGTTAAACCCACCGCTCCGGAGGAGGCCGGTCGTGCTGGGCGGCAGGTCTGCCTCCCGCAGATGGGCCCCGCGCCTGCCCAAAGTGCGACCCAGCACAGCGAGCCCTGCCCAAAGCGCGGCGTCACCCGGCAGCGCTTCCCTGCGCCAGGTTTGGTTGCAAAGTCCTCGCTGGCAGAGCCTAAATCCCTCCGGGACCATGATACTCCATGCCTGGGCTGGAAGATGAGCTCCAGGGATGTACAGGGGCCGTTAAACCCATCTAAGGGTTTAATGCGGCAGCAGAGGTCCCAGCACTCCCCAAAACCAGCAGGATTCGCAGTCCCTCCTGTGGCCCAGGGGCACAAGCCACTGTCACAAGAGCTTTGGCCAACGATTCTCCCATAGCCCAAGTGGGGAGGACTTGGGGACCACCCCAAGTGCCCCCAGCAGTGGGAGCATCCCCCTCCTGGATGGAAAGCAGCAGACGGTGCTGTGGATTTTCTCCCCTCCCTCTGCAGGCACGGAGAGGGCAAAGGATGCTGCAGCGCACCCTGGCCCATGCGGAAACGGCGCCAGGGCTGCCAGCGTTAAAAGAAAAAACCATTTCGCTGCATAACCAGCTTCCCCGACCAGTTTTTCTTTCCTTATCAGCGCTCAGCCCCATGTCGTGATGTGGCACAACCTGCTTCTTTCCTCCCGGAAAACTCCCAGGCTGCAGCGTGCTGAAATCTCCGGCCCCAGCACGAGGGTTTGTGGGGGGGCTCTGCTTCCCGCGCTGTGCAGCCGCCCATCTGCCCCAGCAGAGAGGAAATGGCTTTTGCTTTTATCAAACCTTTTCTGCTGAGCTCGGAAAAAACCCATAGATCGCACCCAGAGCAAAAGCCAGCCAGCACAAAGCAGATCTGAAAGCGGGGGGGGGCGCTTTGCAGTGAGC